GTTGTTGCAGAAAGCCTTACAAGATACTCACATCTACATGCTTAAAAGAGCAAGGAAAAGAAAAACAAAATACTTTTTCTCCTCAAGAAGGATGAAATGTACAGGCAAATAAAGGCAGTACTTTAAATTGATTTTGTAACTCTAGCTCATCCCTGAGCATACTACATACTACAGTGAGCATAAATACTACACAACTATTAATCTGTATGTAAATATACAGCTTAAACATAGAGAGTGCAAAGTACAGAGCCTAATCAGGAGTTTTCAAGAAATCTCCTTTCACCCTAAATGTTCAAATGAATCTGACAACTGCCTCCCCAGCAGTAGGAACGTCATGGTAAAGAGCCCCAGACCTCAGTTATATTATTGATACCAGAAGATGGGACATTTCATTTCTGCTTTGAGTAGCACTTAACTCACAACATGCACCAAGGTTTCCTTGCCTCTCCAGTCCTTCATCAATATCTACGCCTGTGATGCAACTTCAGAGATTACTTGACAGTAAATCTCTCCACTTCTTGTGCTCTTAATGCTTATACATGATTTCCGTTTGTTCTTATTCCACAAGCCAGTCCCTTCCTCACTTAGTCTTGTCTTTCCAAAGAACTTTTCCAGAGGTTTTAACTTTTACACTCTCAGATTACCTGATATTATACCCCTTTGGTTCAGCTATGGTCAGTATCAAGTCACAAGGCTGACACAGACTAAGTACACAGTTTGTGTACTCAAACCCAGGGGTTTACTGTCAGGTGCTTACAGTGCTTGAGGTTGCACATCTCAAAATTCAGTTTCAGGCACTTTATACCTCTTCTGTTCCTTTGAAGTTGAAAATTGTCTTCACTCAGCACTCATTGAAATACTGTCATAATCCTACCTCTCTCAGTTCTTGATAGATTTCTGACTTACTATGTGACCACATTGCTGGCTACTAAAGCCAATGCTAAAGCTATATGGTCTTTTGTGGGGTATCCCAGGGTCTAATACTTCATCCATTGGCCTCAGACTTGGCAAATACAGTCTGGACTGTCACAATTCACATTCACCCTGGCAGCATGCAGCTTTCATCTGTTACCTGCATTATCCTGTGGATCCTATGACCTGTGCCTGGGCCCTGCAAACAGTAGGTGGTCCTTGTTCAGGAAGTTCAGAGATGCTGTAGCCAGCACGGTAGTGACAAGGAAATCTCTGCTAATCTCCTGGTAAATCTGGAGCAGCTTTATCCTGTGCTAGTTGCCAGCAAGAATAACAACACCATACACTACCCTGTACAAGTAGAATGCACAAGTGTTGCCACCCACCCCAGAAGGAGAGGGTAACTCAGGTTCTTATTAATAAATCCCTTGAGGTGGATTAGAGTGAAACCACACTGAAAAATATGTAAACATTTACATGAAGGTTTTATTTTAGAACAATTTTGTTTCAAAGGTAAACAGGTATGTTGCCATTTTGGGTGTTAGCAGTACAGCAGTATTAGAACATCTATAGCTATATAGCAGTATCAAGGCATAGTGATCTAGTATTATTAAGGCATAAATATAACACTTAAGGAAATGCATAAGAGAGAAAGGGAAAAAAGGATAAATATAGTCACTGCCCACTGGGTCCAGCGATAAAACCTGGTAGTTACAGCTTCCACATCAGTTGGTTGAAATGGTGGCCCTTGCACTGTTGGGGTTGAGGCAAGCCCCCAGCAAAACTCAAAGGTGTTATGAGTTATTATACATTTCTAGCTCAGGTGTACACCTTGTACCTGCTCGAGGTAGGGAGTTTTACAGTGGATAGTTTCACAGGACATGTGACTGAGTCTCTGACATCTTCTAAGACAGCTGCAGCTGCCTATTGTGTCAGCATCAATCATGGTCCATCATGGTCCAACATCTGAGATGCATAGCCCAGGCTAGATATGCAAAGTTATCATGTAAAGGGAGGACATTGTCATGATAAGAGGGATTCTCCCACCTTGCTGGTCTTGCATGTTCTTAGCCTCTTCCCTTATTTGGAAATTCAGTTTGTAGCTTCAGATATGCATCTGCACCCAGGATAGTTGACAATGGCACCCAGTTACCTATCTGAAGGTCCTTTGGCAATGTTCAGTACTCATAGAATCATAGAACCACAGACTCATAGAATCCCAGATTCACAGAATCAGCCAGGTAAGAAAAGACCTCTGAGATTATCAAGTCCAACACCACCATGGTTACTAGACCAGGGCACTCAGTGCCACATCCAGCCTCATCTTAAAAACCTCCAGGGATGGAGAATCCAGCACCTCCCTGGACAGCCCATTCCAAAGCCTGATTACCCTCTCTGTAAAAAATTTCTTCCTAATATCCAACCTAAACCTCCCATGGCAGAGCTTAAGCCCATGCCCTCTTGTCCTACTGCTGCTTGCCTGGGAGAAGAGACCGACCCCCACCTGGCTACAACCTCCTCTCAGGTAGTTGTAGAGAGTGATGAGGTCTCCCCTTAGCCTCCTCTTCTCCAGACAAAACAATCCCAGCTCCCTCAGCCTCTTCTCATAGCACTTGTGCTCATGTCCCTTCACCAGCCTGGTTTCTCTTCCCTGGACCTGCTCCAGCTCCTCAATATCCTTCCTGAACTGAGGGGCCCAAATGACTAACCATGTCATTGCTGAGTGACCTTCTACTAAACATCCAGGTTTTGATCCACTGTGCTGCCCATGGACCCCCATATTGAGAGGTTTTTTCAGTACAGGAAGTTTTTGAGATGTTCTTAACTGATGGTAGGGTCAGACACAGTTAAGGCATACTGTTATGAACTGTCACCCGGTCACATTAAATGTGGATCCTTTTTTTTTCACTGAAATAGCTATGGCTCGGCTCATTTAGGAGTAGAGTTATAAGAAATAATAATCATCAAGATTTTTGTTATTATTCCTTCTTCTGGCTCCTGTGCCATGTTATGCCCATACACACTTTTCATATGCTTTAGTAAAATGCCCAATATTTCCCCTTGTGGGAAAGGGCTTAATATAAGTTTTCTGTTCTCCTCCATTGTCTTTTTACTTGAAGCATTTGCTTTCATAACTTTCAGTCAAAATACCAACATTCTAACTACCTTGCCATAACAGGCAGAACGATAAAATAAAGTGATACGCTGTATGTAGCTAATTGTTACTGTTAGTCTAGCAACCTATAGAAAATATATACACATAAGTATAGCAGGTTAAGGGGGGACCTGCTGCAAGACCCAATGGCACATTTTGCATTGGGAGATGGGACACACACATGAGAGATGTGACCCACAAAATGGCAGTTTATTAAAACAAGAAGACAGCTTTTATACTGGGGAATACAGAAGCTTCAGGAATAAGGTGGGACCCCTGCTAGGAACACCAAATCCTGAGGGCTACTGATATGGGGACTTGGAGGGATAGGCTAAGGGCATATGTCAGGTCACTTTGGGGGAAGGGACAGCTGGGGGAACAATTGAAGAACTGTCCTGGGTGCATGGACAGGGGAATTCGCTGAGGCTGCAGTGCTGCGGCCTTGTAGTTGAGCTGGTTCCCAGGCAGTTCTGCACAGCTGAAGTTGCTAAAAGTCTTCTAGAGAGATCTCTTCCTCTGAGCCTTCCTTGCAGCGCTTTTTCATCTCTCTCCACACTCTGTAGGCCTCTTCTGGTTCACCCCCACATAAGTGGCAGGATGAGCTGGGTGTGCTAACTGAGGTGCATAGCTCAGTCTGCACCCAACTTCTGTTCTTTATTTTTTATTTTCAGCAAAATCAAAAGACTACTGTCTGTCTGTTGGCCCATAATTATTTTTTCACCAGACATCCATCCAAAATACAGACCTGCATATTAGGACCTGCCACATTGGATAGCACATTTTGTTTGTATTAAGTATGATCCTCGGATCCCATTGTCATTTAGAGCTGATGGTTATGCAAACCATAATCATCAAAGACTCATAATCAGTCTTGGTTTTGCACAGGCATAAAACTCCATTTGACACACATTGGGCTCTTCCTTTTGGAGGGAAATAGCAGGCAGTATCTTTGAGGCAGAACTGTTTAACAGATGGTATTTCCAAACCTCAACATTTTGGGCACCACAATATAAAAAGATATTAAACACTTAGAGAGCATCCAAAGGAGGGCAACAAGGATGGTGAGGGGTCTGGAGGGGAAGCCTAACAAGGAGCAGCTGATGTCACCTGTTTTGTTCAACCTGGAGAAGAAGAGACTGATAGGAGACCTCCTTGAGGTCTTCAACATCCTCACGAGGGAAAGCAGAGGGGCAGTACTGATCTCTTTACTCTCATGACCAATGACAGGACTCAAGGAAATGGCACGAAGCTGAGTCAGGGGACCTAGAGGGTGGCTGAGAAGTAGGACAGGCTCCCTAGGGAAGTAGTCACAGCACTGAGCCTGTCTGAGTTCAAGAAGCATTTGGACAACATATGGTGTGATTCTTGGGGTCACAAGTCCAACTTTGATGATCCTGATGTGTTCCTTCCAACTCAGCCTATTCTATGATTCTATTGTTACTCTCTCCTTCCTACTCACAGTTTTCTTCCTTAGTTACAAGGCAATGGTCTTCTGCAACAAGTTAGTTCAAAATGTCCTTACTAAACTAGGTCCCCAAATTTACGTACTTTCTAGCTCTTCCCATTTGCAGTCTATTAGGATTACATATCTGTATTTGGGTTTGGAGCACTACATTGAAACTAATATTATTGGGCTCATTATTAAAAATAATTACACAATTATTATTGTTCTCACTTGTCTTAAGAGGTCCAGAACACTAGTTTAATGAATCTCAGGAAAACATTTATATTTTCCTTAAATACAATTTTAAGTTACCATTTAGAGAGAGCAGTCTAACACAATCATCCAGTTCTTCAAATCTGTGAATTCCAAAAATTCAGAGGCATATTTTCAAAACAGCTTAGGCGAAGTCATAGGAAATGTCCTTCCTAAAAGAGGGGAAATTAACAAAAACATATGGTAAAAAATGAACTCTTTTCTCTTTCATCCCAGATGCAAAAAGAAAATTGCTATCTTGTGACTCTTCATGTAGGACCTGTGAGAAATCTGCTGATAAGTGTACTACATGTCCAGAAGGTAAGACTTCTCTTCCTTGGGTAAATTTTGCAAGAGACTATAATATTCTGTATCCTACACCCTATCAGGGAATGTTTTTGTCAACAGTCACTAGAAAGTTCCTTAACAGTTTAAAGGATAGGCAGGGAATCAGATAATCAGCAGCTGGAGTCATGCATCAGCACATGTCCTTGCCAATATGGCTTAAAAAATTGTCAGGTAGATGGTGTTCCTTTCCTTTCAATCAAAAGTTGTAGATATGATGTGGGAATTACCAAACTGGGATTTATTCAGGAAGATGTACTAGATAATCCTGATGATTCTTTCTAACCATAAATTTCAGTGAAGTCTGAGCATAATACTTCGGGGAATTCTTAAAGAATGTTTTATTCATGCTTTTAAGCATCCATGTTGAATTTTGAGAAGTTAAAAGCTTTTTTTATAGCCATCCAAAGCAGGAATCTTTTAAATATCTTTCTAATTGATGCATTTACCCACCTGGGTTGCTCTTTTTCCAGGAAAATTTCTTATCCATGATACCTGTGTTTCTCTGTGTCCTCAAAAAACTTTTGGCAACACTGCAAGCGGAAAGTGTGAGAAGTGTAGGGATGGCTGTGAGGTATGTTCCGACCAATGGCATTGTCAGAAGTGTCAGGCTGAACAGGACCAGCTTCTCTTCCTCCACAATAGCAGATGTTTACCAGAGTGCCCTGAGTAAGTAACACCTGTTGGATAATTCATCCTTTTTTTTTTCACTGTGCTCCTTCTCTTTGAAGTTCAAGGAAGACCTTAATGTAACCTAAGGTACCAGAAACTGCCACACGGTAAAAATAATTACAGCCTGCCTGAATAAACAGCATTTTCACTTGGTTAGAGAAAAATCAAAAGTGAAATCCTATGAGAGATGGAACAGCTCCCATTGACTTCAGTAGGACCCTGGTGCTTCAAAATGGCTCTTTATGGTGAATACAAATAAGCCTCTAGTCATTCTTCAAATTTTTTCTTTCCTCAAGTAGTGCAGAGAAGTGGAATGAATCAGAAAGTGAACCTATCAGAGTCCTGACATGGAAACACAGTGCTTAAGGCTTTGAGTCATATTCTTTATTTTTTCCTGTAATAAATGAAATTCAAAAAGAAAGACTCCCTTTTGACTGCAACCAATATTAGATAGATATTCAGCCACATGAGTAGAGCAGGTTTTGCCTTTTCTGTGCTTTTAAAATCAGCACTCTTCATGCCTGTACATACACATAAAACCTGTGCTACCCAGCATGAAAATCTTGCTTAGTTAACCTTTTTCTTCAGAAAAATGTGCAACCCCTACTTTTCTTGCAATCAGTGCAAACTCTCTGCCACTATATTCCTGGCAATTTTGTCATATTATATCGTGAGTGCCAGTGGAGCACATTTTGTTCATGAAATGTCAGAGTAAATGGAAAATATATGCACTAAAGCCTACTGTAGTCCGGAAATAATTTTTAATATCAGAAACTGTGGCATACAAGCAAAGATAATGTTTTGGCATTAATATGCATGTTATAAGTACCAACACCCCAGTTATCCTACGCAGTGAGTATAACAAAATTAAATCTTTTTGTATAGCACTGGTCTTTTCAGATATTATTATCCCCCTTATTTCCAAATTCTAGACTGTAAATAATGGCTTCCCATCATTCAGCAAAGTTCTTCTGGTTTAAACTCCAGTTTGAGACTCTGAGACAAAGTTCTTGAGGCATAGCTATTCTCCTCTGGAGCAGAGGATTATGTGAGAAATTTTTTTAGGGGGTTGGTTGAATTTGATTTGGTGTTGTGGTGTTTTTTGTTTGTTTGATTTTGTTGGGTTTTTTTGTTGTTGTTGTTTGTTTTGTTTTGTTTTTTTTTTTTTGTGTGTGTGTTTTTTGGTGTTTTTTTGGGTTGTGGGGTTTGTTTTTTTTTTTTTTTTTTTTTGAGTTTTGGGACATGCTGTAAGTGATAAAGAGGATTGGCTTACTGCATTGTTAATTTTTGACTGAGGAATTTTCAAAGCCTGGGCTGAGTACTCAACATGGAAACAAGAGATGACAGAACTGTGAGAAATAGATGTATACCTTGACAAAGGTTAGAAGCAAAAAAAAAGATTAAAATAGATGGCAGGCACAGTTCTTCCCAGCTTTTCTCTAACCTTACTCCTAATGCATCTCCCCAGCCCTTTCCTTTGAAAGATCATCTCCAAGAAGGAAAGGAGAAGCACCCTTCTACAGGGAAAACCAAGCTTGTTAATGTAAAGTACATATTCTAGAACTAATTTCTATCTCTTCTTCTTCTCTAGTTTTCATCAATGGCTCTAAAGATACAGATTAGCAGTCATCTGAAAATGCCAACTTGCTTGTCCTTTAATCTTCTAACACTTTGGTTTTGAGAGTTTAGACAGATCAGATTCAGCCTCTCCTTTTATACATCTTCTCTGAAACACAAGTGCAATTTTTTCTGCATTTTATTTATGTAACTGTGGCTGTCTACATTTGCTCTCACACCACGGATAGCAGTGAAACATAACCCCTCTTCATCACCTCTAGCCTGCCTTCACACTGCCAGGGTTTTCTCTTCTCTTTTTCCCCTCAAGGGTCACTAAGGTTGTGTTTCTCTTTCTCTGGTATGGTCGTTGTAGGTCAGCCATGCAAGATGAGAAATTACCCCTTTCTTTTCCCAAAGATCTTTCTATCTTACGTGAAGGAGGAAATAAAGAAATGAGCAAGTAAGAAAGTTCAATGTCCCTTAGAGAATAGGTACAAGAAAAAAGGAAGGCCAGATACCCTGCATCTGCACTAACCATGCACATTTCCTTTTTGCAGACCAGGGGATTTAAGTAACAAATTCTGTGAGAAACCTCAAAGATCCAAAGAAATATATGTTCTGGGAAAGTCTCATTTAGAGTTCCTATAGCCTGGACTGTTTGATAACTACACTGACCAGAAGTTTGCTTTATGATTTTTTGTTTGTTTGTTTGTCTGTTTCATTCAATAGGGGATATTTTAATGATTCTGAGACTTGCAAGGAATGCAGCGGATCCTGTAAGACATGCATAGGAAATGCAACCAAATGCCTGTCCTGTGAAAGCCCTTTGCTTTTAGAGCACTGGAAATGTAAACCTACCTGTTCAGAGAATCATTTTGCCTCTGAAGGAATCTGCAAACGCTGCCCTGAAATGTGTCAGGAATGTATTCACAATGAAATATGCAAAGGTATTACCAAGACTTCGCCTTGGCTAAAATCCACCTGGATCTGTCTGGAGACAGATTGACAGAAACACAGATCTGAATTGAAATTCTGTAATGTGTAAAAATGAAAAAAGAAGTGGTGTGCATACCACTGCTTTTCTCTAAGAGGCAAAACAACTGGTGCTTTATGATGAGACTCAGTCACATGGTTAATCTGTAAAGCTTTCACGTTGCTTTACCTGTTTCTGTTGTTCTTCAGAGATTCCTACTCATTTGGTTCTATTTGTAGAGTATACACATCTAAACACTTACATACACATTTACACCAATGTGAAAAACAGAACATTTCTTTCCTTGTTTGGTTGAACTTCAAATCTCTTCACGATTTTTGCAAACGACTGTTGGAGAAAGAAATCTCCGTAATGAAACATATTAGGAAAGCCTTGGATATCTTGTTGAGGTTCAGTATCCTCTCAAAAATTTCCAGCATAGTTAATATTGAGTTAGTCATTCTGGAAAACAAGCCTATTAAATCAAGTACTGGTAACAAAAGTAGTAACCGATTCACAGCTCAAAGACAAACATTCAGGTCAATATATTCTAGTCATATTTTAATAATAAACTAAATGAATCTCAGATGTGGACATATCTGATTTTGCAAATGGTTCATAATGCAGATATAGTATGCTAGGAAAAGGCCATTTGTATTCAGTGGTAAACAGTTTAGTTAATATCAGCAAACCTGAACCAGTGAATTTGCTTCACAGTCTCTTGATGTAACACAGAAGATACCATGTGAGGGTTAGGCCAATATGGGTGTTTTGGAGAGGAAGAAGTTGAAAAAGAAAATCTCAAGCTGTTCTGTTGCCTTCTGTTATGAGACATAATGCAGAATTTATGGCTTCCTAAGATTTATTCACTCCATCACTTAGAGGGTGAGAAATAGCTTCTTGTTCATTTACCTGTTTTCTGGTCTTCCCTGTAGAGTGTATGGACCAGTTCTTCCTGCACGAGGGAAAGTGTGTGCAGGAATGCCCTTCACACTTCTATGCTGAAGACAAGCACTGCTTTCCCTGCCATGCCGACTGCAAGGATTGCAATGGGCCAGATTCCGACGACTGCACAGCGTGCACTTTCAGCTTGTTTGTCCTCTACAATGGCATGTGTTTTGAAGAGTGCCCTGAAGGGAGTTACTATGAAGAAGCCACTGGAGACTGTCAAGGTTGGTAGCTGTTGTTTTCCCCAAAATAGTACTGAGATACAAGAGGGTCTGTTTAAAGACCACACCCAAAAAAGGTGTGTGCCAGCTAATGTCGATACCAGTGTCCTGGAATCAAAGGAGATACCTAATGCAGAAAAATAACAAGGCAGAAAAGCAAAACTTGAAGAAAGAAGAGAGGGAGGTATGTGTAATATTATGGGCAACCACTCTGGTAAAATACTGGGAATTGCCAGAGAGCATAAGTTGCAAAAACAGTGCTGGTTCAAAGCAAACCTAAGGAACTGCCTGCACAAGATTGAAAATAATTTCCCTCAGCCTTTCACCCTGAGATGACGGCTTGTTCTTTCAAAATTACAGCTGTAATAATACTCTGAGATGCAACAAGAAATGATGATGTTCCTATTGTTTGTCCATTTCAGCATGCAACAGGACATGCCAGACTTGTTCTTCTTCCGCTGCCTGCCTTACTTGCAGAAATGGCCTGATACTTAACAGTGATGGGCACTGTATGGTATCTGGGTACTGCTCTCCCACTGAGTTCTACGCTGAGGAAACTCAGACTTGCAAGCCTTGTCACAGGAAATGCTTCCACTGCTCAGGACCCACTGAACATCAGTGTCTTAGCTGTGCGAATAACCATTATCTTCTCAGTAAGTGTCTCCTGCCTCTAGATTTCATTCTACACCAAAAGCATGAAATAGACGAGTATCTGTCACATTTCTGCAGTATCTAGGGCTCCATCAACCAATAAATTCTGTAAAGTTGACCTGACAAGTAAATAAATTGTGCAGAGATAATTTCTTTTCTGAGGCTACCTGGAAACTCTTTGTGAGACTGGGCTTGCTACTGGGGCCAAAGAAGGACTTTTAAGTAGCAACAAACACCACAGCTAAACAAAACTCATATGTTTTATTTCCTTGGTATGTACTGTTCCTGTTGTTTCCTGACCTTAAAAAAAAAACAAAGAAGGCTATCATTAGCTTCTTTTTTTTTGTCTGGTTTTATTTTTTTGTTTGTTGGGGGGGTTGTTTGTTTTTTGTTTGGGTTGAGCTTTTTTTGTAACTGTATCCACAAAGGGCTCGCATTTTCATGTTGACTTGTTTGATCCCTGCAGAGGTCTGATGAGTAAAGAAATACATGAACAGAGCTGTTAAGTGATACATGGATCCCTAGATCAGTATCTAGTGGTTGGCTGAGGTGCAAAGCTACTTTTCTGACTTTGGAGCAAAAGACTATACAGCCTCAGAAACTAATTCTTAAAAAGTATAAAATCCTAGAACTTAGAACTTGGTTCTTTGCATATTCTTCTAAAAGTAAAGAAAAATTTTAGAAAACAATTGGGAGAAAAAATTAATAAATTATCTTTCATGCAGAAGAAATCTAAAGAGAGTATGGATTGGAACTGAACCTAAGCTTCTCAAATCTAATTCCAATGCAGATTTTGCATTCTTAAATTTCTGAGCCCTTGCATTAGACCTGTCTTTTTTATCAACAGACCCAGCTGCTTTGTACCATTACAATTGGTAAAGTTAATGGAAGCATGTGAAGAAACATCCTGGAGTTGAGAGAGAAATGCAAAAAAAAAAAAAAAAAAAAACAAACCACCAAAAAAACCTACCAACCAAAAACCTAGAAATAAAGAGAAGTATCTTCCTTTGCCCACTTCCAACACAAGCAGCAAAACTATCAAGACAAGCTATGTAATAAGTACAAGCAACTCATAAGTAATTACTGCTCCCTTAGCTTGATGCACTTGCAGCTTGTTAGATCAGTCTTCTCATTTAAGATTCCTGTTTTAAAGGCTGACATTTCACTGAAAACAAAAAAAAAAGTGGGATATACCTGGTACACTTGGCAGCATTACAGACATTTAATCCCATCTGGAGTAGCAGCCACAGACAAGGGTAAAGACCAGTAAACAAATGTCATTAAATCTCAGGTATAGCATGAGATTTGTCATATACACTGAATGCAATGAGATTGATGCTTAGAGCAAGATGCAAGGAAAATGGCAGTGCAGACAAAAACTTTCCTAATTATTGGTGTTGCCTAAAAGTGGCACTTAAAATAAATTTCTGACTCAATCTGTGAGTTAGCTTATATGCCAGCCTTACATGATTATTCAGTTTTTGTTCCCCACACTTCTGTTACATATTCATGATGCTTCCCAACACTTATCTGCATATATACATAGCCTTATAAGGTCTCTGAGGGTCTTCATCGAGGGTCTTGGTGGTCTTTCCTGTCCAGAGCCCCCCAGAGTTGTAAGTGACTGCCTTGTGAACTTCTTCAAGACAATTCACCTAGTTATACAGTGACTGGGTGTTGTCTGGCTGGCTGCCTCAGTTTCCATCCTTTTATTTTTTTTTTTTTTAATCACTTGGCTCAGCTATCTTTAGTTTCTGTGTTGTAAATACTATCAGGTTTTTTTACATCTCTAAACCTCAATATCACTGGGATAAGATTTCTTTTGATTATTGTGAAAGAGATCACATCTTCTGTTAATTATTATGTTCATACATTTATATTCCCCCAAAATAAAAAACTTATTTATTCTGCAGAGCCTGCTAATATTCGTAAGACACCAAAATGAGGATTAATGAATTGACAAGACTTAGAAGAATCAAAAATAATTTCTATATCCCAACATTTGCTTTTCTTGTTCTAGTACATGCCTATCAGCATCTCCTGTTACAGAGTTTGCTCTAGCACAAATTTATAGTAGCAGATACTGAATATGATGTGTTATTCTGCATTGTTGTCTGTGCAGATACAACCTGTGTTGAAACATGCCCAGATGGATATTATGCTGATAATGATGAGGGGCAGTGTTCTGCATGTCACAGTGCCTGTGTCACTTGCACTGGAAAATACAGCTCACAGTGCCTTTCCTGCAAACCGGGTTGGTACAAACAAGGAAACGGATGTGTAAACCAGTGTCCATCAGGGTAAGGTCCAAGATCTTTTGCTAAGATCTGCATCACAGAGAGAGCTTTGAGAAATTAGATCACACTGCAGTATTCTATTTCAGTGTGGAAGAGAACTATGTTTTGTTTCAGGTGAAAATTTCTTACATTGTCCCAGCACAGAGGTGGTGGAAAACCTCCCCTCAGAGTAGAAAACTCTCCACTGGTGCCCAGGTTGGGACCATTTTTGATATGGTGTGGCCATTCTTATACTCCAGAGGTGATCTGAGGGTATATGTATACAGAACAGTGTGAACCAGAATAAGTATATAAAGTTATCTCTGTCCATCAGCTTGAGAACAGGAAGCAGTGTAACTTTCCTCAAGAACCTTTGCAGCTTCCACTGAAGTTTGGATGAAGTTGCTATTTTTTTGCATTTCCTGAATGTTTATAATGGGTCATAATAAAAATAACCAATAAACCACCCCTCAACTGAGCACTCATAATTCTAGACAGAAACTTCTTTGATGAATCCATTCAAGTTCAAAATGTGAAAGCAGTGTGCTTTTGTGACTACATCTCAGAAATTCAAATTTAGAAAGTGCACCTATGATTTCTGTTTCAGGTCCATTTAGTTTAAAAGTAGAGTACAATCACACTGGCTGTTAAATTATCATCCCACTAAACTGGAGGTCCACAATGACCACATCTTAGCAAAACCCCAATGTATCAATTCTTCTTTTTCCCTGAGAGCATAACTTACGTGAATAGAGTCAAAACAGAGTTGAGCTTTTTTGAGCCTTGCCTATTTATATACTTTGTGACTGAATTCACTCTAGTTTTTAGGAAGTATTGTTTTATACACCTTCAATTTACAAAGTCTTGCTCTATAGTTGAACAATAACCAGCGAAAATTAAAAGAAAATTAATTCTGTTTACACTGAGATTGCAAGTAATTACTGTGTTCACATTAATATCATCTTTATACATTGATGTAATCACAGTAAAAACCTAAGAATTAAATATGTTTTGGTTGTCCTGTCACTACTGAGCTTTATGCAAAGCAATGACTATCTGATCTGTTTCAGGTATTTTGCACAAAATTCCACTGGATTATGTGAGAGATGCCACAAGAGTTGTAAGGAATGTATGGGGCCTCAGCCCACAGATTGTCTTTTATGTGATACATATTTCTACCTGTTGCACTCCAAGAATGAATGTGTTAGCTCTTGTCCTCAGTACTACTACGAAAACAAGGACAACAATGTCTGTGAAAGATGCCACCCTTCCTGTCTAACTTGTGAAGGTAAAAGCATACGCTCTACTTTGACCAAAAAACCGGTCACCAAAACACCTGTAATGTCTTCTCCAAGATTTGGAAACACTTCACAAAGATACATTACACTTATAGTGCTACAAATCTGGCGATGACCTAGGTAGCTACAGTGGGTGATGCAGACCTCTTCCTGGCCTTGAGTGACTTGCTGCACTGACTGCTCCCTGCTGCCACCTTACTCTTACAGTATTGAACAACTGGGATGAAAACAAGGGTGTGAATTCCTGCCAAGCTCTCCGCAAGGGCTTCTTCGAGCACAGAGCACAAATGTAAATAAAGACAGCCACTTAACAGGTAGGGCTGGAACTCAGTCCTATTGCCAAGTCAGTGAAGGGAAACAAATGGACAATGGTAATGAATTTTCCATCAGCCAAGCCTCTCTCGAAGATGCTCACCAGCTTCAAAAAATGGGCTCTATTAGTTACAGAGCTGGACCTCATTTCTCACACAAATATGGAATAATGAGTGAAATATACCTTACTCTCACACAAATATGGAATAATGAGTGAAATATACCTTACTCTCTGAGCTATCCTACTATATGCTACTCTGTGAAAGCCAAGCCAAAGAACCTAATTTAAATCACACATCTTTACAGTCTGCAATGGGAAGACTGAAGACCTGTATAGCATATCTTTAGGGAAAAAAAAGAAAAGCAAGGAGCGCAGTGATGCCTGCTGCTTTTATTATAGTGACACACTTATGTATTCAGTTTCCTAGTTTTCGTAATTAATCTAGTTCTAAAGCAAGCAGCATTAATCAGTTAGTTAGCAGGGCTAACAAGTATGGATTTTGTGAAGGACAGCTTTTGGCTAAGGTTCTCCAGAATTTTACTTTAGCGCACTGATCTAATTGAGTTTCCTGAATGTGTCAGAGCTTCCCTGTACAACTGATTCCAGAATCATCTCTTCATGAATATAAAACCACATAAATACATTTGGTGGGCACATAAAAAAACAAGACAAGGCCAAAACTACTTCTAATACCAACCTCTTTCTAATACCAAACTCTTCATGCTGAACTCCTCACCAGTGATTCTTGGTGTTGACAAATAGCCTTTTGTTTGGTGGTAGTGGTCGGTATAATTTTTAAAGGATATTAGCTGACAGTTTTTCCTGTTGTAATCTTGTTTCATTTGCCCTTCTAGGGAAGGGAGCATTCAGCTGCACATCTTGCGTATGGAGCTACACTTTATTAGGTGGAATTTGCAGCTCGGACTGTTTTGTAGGTGAATACAAAGTCCAGGAGACACCAGGACAAGAGGTACCCCTTTGTAGGCTTTTTCTCCTGTAAATCTTACACAACGCTAGGAACAGATTGCTCTTCACTGAGTTTTTAAGTGTGCTTCTTTTTAAAGTATGTTTACTTGTTTGTTGTCTTGGCAGAGGAAACATTGTTTCTCTCTCCAGGGTTGTCAACTATAGAGTAATCCTATACAGTCCACAATGATATCAAAGCATATGGTATCATATGAACAGGATCAACTATATTAGTGATAGAGCTAGTATCCCTACATATTTCAGCATAACTGAGATTTGCCCATGGATTTCTGATGCCTTTTCTGTAAGAAATCATTTTGCATTTCTGATTGACAGCTTTGCTGGCAGAAACATCTAGTGGGCGGACAGGCTAAAGTTAACAAAGCTGTATATTTAGTAGAATAGGACCACAGTTAGATTTGGTTCTGTGCCACAAGTCTGGGCACTTCAGCTTCCAGATTTCCACACCAACTGCCTTCCAAAAATGTTTATTCAAGAGTATATCATGAAGGCATAGCAGCTTGCCTGAGATGTTGCATGTTGCATACCCTGAAATCTCTGGCCTGGAATACCCCTTTAGCAGTGCTACTTCACACCAGTGAGAAAACAGCCTAAGAGCTGGGGACCGCAGAGGTCTGCAAGTCTTTGCAAAAGCTTTCACTCCAAGAAATTATGATCTGCTATGATCCTCCCATCTTGCACAGGTTTTTCAATCCAGGATAAGCAACCTTTCAAGTCTGACAGCAAGTTTGGTGAAAGTTTATTAGAGTTTCCAAATCCTCACAGTGGGGAACTTGGTCCCACAGCAGAAAAATAAAGTTTTTTCCTCAGGAAGCCAGGAACTGTGAATGCTGAAAACCCTGAAACACCCCACCTCAGAGCATTCTACAAGGCAGGTGTAACCACAGTGACCTTTGGTGGCTTTGTACACAGAGGCTCCTAGGGCTTATCTGGAATTTGAGAGGAGTATTTGAATCTAAGCTGTTTTTGTAGAAAAGAACCAACACAATCTAATAGAAATCTCTTTTGCTAGAAAATTTCCAACCATCTTTATTCCTTACTTCTGCTCATTCTCTGGTTAGAAAGGAAATGCATTCTCTCAGCTGTCTTTTTTTTTTTTCCCCCAGAATATTTCATGTTGCCTCTTCCATGTCAGTTACTTTTAATGATACTGTTGAGTATGATTCTGGAAAGTCACTTTACCATCATTACTGCCAAAGTAGGATAGATCTGCTAGTGTGGGACTGGTAAAACAAAAACACACTTTCTGGCCCAAAGAGCTTACAGTGTGAATAAACTTTATCTTCCTGTCTAGCTAGGTGAGATCTGTTAGCTCCTACAACAATTTATCCCATCTCCCTACGAGCAGATCACCGAGAACTCAGGAAACAGTAAATTTTAGATTTGCTGCTGTATTTTGCCATTGACACTCATGGCACCCAGAGGTGACCACCCAGATAATGAATGACAGGGTAGAACTACCAGGTCAGATCCCAAGAATCCAAAATAAAAGGCGCATCGCTTCTGTTCTGTGTTTGAAGGAGGATGAACCCAAGTGTGAGAAATGCGACAGCTCATGCACTGAGTGCAAAGGACCTGGTCCTCTCAACTGCACAGTCTGTCCAGCCAGCATGCAGCTCTACCTAGAGGAAAGCCGCTGCCTGCCCTGCTGCAGTGACTCTGATCCAGCAGGCAACACGGAGTGCTGTGACTGCAGTGAAACACAAGGTAGAAGAGCAGTATGCTGAAGAGCAGTAATAGTGCTGATGGGTTTTAAGGCTGATTAGGCTGACATTTAAAAATCATAAGGGGAATAGACCAAAAATGTGCTGCTGAGCTCTTGGCAGTGTGTTTCTACTGCTCCATCACCAGAATGTGAAAGGCTTTAAAAATAATAACAATCGCGGCAGATGCTGGAGAGGGCAAGTTCTCTCACTCACAACCATTATGTTAAATGGCCAGGCATTTTATAAACCAGGTGACTGAGAAGTGCTTGCTTCAATGAGTAGATATTTGAATAATTTCCTTTGTTCGCCGGCTAGCTTTTCTGCTTCTTTCTGATTATTTTGAATCAAATAAAGAAGAATAGGTATCCCAACAACCTTGTTGACATTCTTACAGCATCACAGGTACAAAAGTACAGTTGTGCTACTGGGAAAGTAAGCTATTTAACGGAATGCTTTAAAAAATGTAAACAGTCCTAAACACTGTACTGGGCTTTTTAAGACAGATATACCACACACACAAACTCATTTAATCTTTTTTATTTTCTTTTTAACTGCTGTTGTAGATGACTGTGTATTACAGACCACTGTATCCCCCAAGAGAAAAACAAAAACTGCTTTCTTTGTTATCACCTGCATTTTGCTTCTCCTTGTCATCGGAGCCATTGTATTCATCTGGAGACGATCAAGAGCCAAAACCCAGGCTGTCAATAAAGGTGGGTATGAAAAACTGACAAATCACTCCAAAACCTTTCCTTCCTCTGTGAGCAACTACCACAAGAGTACCAGTTACCAGGAGGATCAAGTGATTGAGTACCGAGATAGAGATAATGAGGATGATGATGATGAAGAAGATGACATTGTATACATGAGCCAGGATGGCACAATCTATCGCAAATTTAAATATGGACTTTTGGAGGATGACGAGGAAGATGAACTTGAATATGATGATGAAAGTTATTCATTTAGATAACTTTTTACTAACTTACTAATAGTAAATTGGTCCTGCTCTGTTGCTTTTCCTATGAAATTACAGCAGTTTAGTTAAGGATGTTTAGTTACTTGCGAGCATGCTGACCTCCAAATTTTTTGCTAATAGTTATTGTGAGAGCAGAATGGTTTCTAAAAGCTTTGCATAAATGCTTTCTAGACTTTTAAGTAGCTCTCCAGATATAGTCTGGTTAAGAGATTATGTTTCTGTGCATTTGTGTGGAGAATAATTCCTTTCCCAATATGTATTTGTGTGCATTATAAATAATACAAACTTTGTTTCAAACCATGCACATACACTTAATAAGAACCTTGCCAATCACTACCAGAAATGTGATAAGCAAAATGAATGTATATATTTTATGAATGCCACTGGGATAGGGTGACAGTAGTTTACTGCTTTGTGATTATAGTTACTCAGCAATTCATGATAGAGTAGGCAACTTGGCTGACTTTACCTAGATTTTCTTCACTGGTGTCACCTGGTGCATCTGTGTTCCCTGAAGCCAACACACTTCTCTTTATAATCTTTATAGTTTACTCTCCAGGGAATTTAGGCATCTATGATGTGAAGTTTTAAGATTTCTGATTGTGACTACTCCTCATAACTATATTGTATTCACAGTTTGTGTGAAATATAACTAAAATATTTTATATACCAGCCTCTGATTAGTATTTATTGCGTTTGTCAAATAATCTTTCATTGTACTGGATTTACCACAAAGGGGAGTATTGTTAGTAAGCATGGCACATACACATAAGTGCCCCAAGCAGCTTTTCTATTTCTATTATAAATGGCTCAGGGTGTTCAGAAAGGGGATATTTAGCACTTATTTGATAACTTAAAAGAACACCGAAATAAGATTTTTAATTATTATTATTATGATAAAACATAATTTTAAAGAAAAGTATGCTTTGTGGCTCTATGTTGTGAAAGAATAAATTCTTTAATGTCTTAAAAATGCTGTTATTTGTTAAGTTTCATTCACCTTCAGAGTTCCTTTAGACTTCCAGTGAAAAGAACTGCTCTAGAATAATAAACCAATTAGATTTAGTGTCTACAAAGGAATTGTGTGAAAATACCAGTTTTTTATGGCTCAGTACCTCAGTGGAATTTTTTGCATTGAGTATTTCTAAAGATAGTTCCATCTGTAAGATTAATAAAGTTTCATGGAGAAGTTTGAATTTTATCCTTCTAGTCATTTCACCTCCAGTAAGAGAGAGGAATGTCATGTGACTTCACAAAAGCCAAACCAAGTAGTTATATTCATCAAAAATTGTACAACATGAAGGTACTCTGGAAAGATGCATGTTATCTTTCATTCCAAATTTTGAAAAATTGGAAGGGGGAAAAGGAGTGAAAAATCTGTTTGAAAGGTCATACTATCCTGCTTTCCTAAACTTGTGTGAATTAACAATATGCTTTATTATTGTTGCTAATGGCTTACAATGCAACTGTAAGAATTTGCTTTGACCTGACTTACCTCCTCACATTTCAAAGGCTTACTCCTAGCTATGCCTGAGCAGTCTGAAACCATTGTGATCGATGTAATGAGCATTTAGTTTATGGGCTCTCAGATTATGAAATTATATTATTATGAAATAGGCATGTGAATCTGGCAGGTCAACAAATGGTTAAAGCAATGTGCCATAGTGCATGTTCCTATTTAACTGATTGTTGACTACTGATCAGAAATATCTAGGAAGTTGCCTAACACATTTTGGCAGATTGTACCATAGATTATGATTTCATTAATTGTTAACACGACAAAAGGCAGTTTTTCCCCTTGGAAAAGATATGTTGCAAAGTAGGCAGTATTGTTGTGGTTTTGCTTTGGGTCAATTTGCACCCCCCACACAGTTACTATTAGTTGAGGGAAGGTTTATGTAGATAAAAGAGACTAGATTTGGGGAAATAATATGAACATTTATTACCAGTAAAATAAAAACTACTAAAGAACTATATGTACAATAATTCTACTTAAGTAAAAGTACTATGTATTTACAGAAATACTTCTCTCTTCTTTATATCAGTCCAAGGAGGAGAAGTAGTCTCTTTCTCCATTCTCAGAGCTCCAGGTTTCTTTAATAACTTTGCAGTATTCTCATCGTAGCTGGAACTTTTTTTCTTTCTCTCTTGCTCTGTGTTAGCTTCCAGGGCTGGGCCTACCCGCTTCCTGGGCTAAGATCAGAGGCTGGGGGGTTACCCAGGTCCTGAAGGTTTTTTCTTCCATGGTCTTGCAAGGGGACACTTGCCTACCATGGATCTTCTTCCACAGGGTTACAGGGGATAATGGCTTAAGAGTCCACCACTGTTTCCCTATCGAGGTCCCTCCCCATGGGAGAACAGTCTTTGATAGACCTCCCCAGCATGGGTCTAGCATGGATCCCACACATGGATCCCAACATCCTACCTGGGCTGTCTTGCTCCAGCGTAGGTTTCAGGGTCATAAATCTTTAACAGGACTCTGCCTCATTTCAGTCTCTCTCATGAAGTTTCAACTCCCTGGTACATCCACAAGCTCCTCTGTGAGCCGCATGAAGGTCTCCTCACTCCAATAAACTTTTACAGGTGGCAGAGGTTGTTTTCAGTCTCTTCCCTACTGAGGGGAGAGAGCGAAAAGGGGGGAAGAAGCAGGCCCCCCTTCGCACTTCTCTCTCCTATGGCTGCTGGCTTTGACCTTGGAAGTTCCTTATCTCTTTGCCAAAATTCTTTTGCAGCGGTTTCTGTCCAAGTAGTCAGTCTTCTAAAGTTTTTTTCCTACACTCTCTTACAAGAGAGAAGGGGAGCTTCAGTGCCACACCTGCCCCCGACCCAGGCCAGGGAGGAGAGGGCCTGGCCCCCACCTGGGGCTTGCTGCCTCTCCTACATGACTGTTACTCTTAATTTCAAGTGCGCAACAAGCCTTTTCTTCCATTTTTCTTAAATATGTAATTAGCAAAGACGTCACTAAGAGTTTTGATTGGCTTTTTGTCTGGAAATCCACCTGGACAAAACCATCCTCAGCCCTAGGGGCTGGCTGTTGAGCAAAACCACGACACAGTAATGGTAAATTTTTTTCCCCCAGCATCCCTTTTCAGATTTACGTCTGTACTTCAGAGACATCTCCTCTTGGACCTTAACAAACAAACAGATGGACTTATTATCTCTTTGCATTATTTTGAAGGGTTATATTACACATTTAATTAAATAGTAAAAAGGGAAATAAGTATTATTTTATTTTACCTAATTTATATTGCTTACTTAGCATCTAGGTAGTCAGATTTTCCTTTTCAAGTAGAGTTAAGGTACCATACTTACCTAAGAATCCCTACACTAAATATTTCTTGCTCTTCTTGCTCCATTTTTTTTCTAGTGTTTCTCCATTGTTGCTCACTGTGTGTCATGTCTAGAATCCTCATCCAATTATGTTTTCTGAATCCTTTCTTCTCCTTCTTGTCATCAATTCCCAGTTTTTCTTTTTTCTGATGTAAAAAAATAAGTTAATAATTTTAGTATTTCATCATGAGTAACAAAACACCAAAAAGTCCAAATATAACTCTTACTGTATTTGTGGCACTGGATTTTACCTTCTTTCAGTGCCAAATCTATGCACTATAGAAATGCAAGGTAATCATACACTCAAAACAAATAATAATAATAAAAAGATACTACTACACTTTGCAACTCTAAGGCGTGAAAAAGAAAGCAGAGTTAAATTCTGAGACATTAAAGAAGATGACCCTTACATGAAGTCAGCACCTTCAGGTATGTAAATAATCCTATATTAATGGTCATTTTCAGCAATGTTTATAAAGTTCTACTCTCCCTAAAAACACAAATCTATCCAAAACTCCTCTAGATCAACAGATAATACATCACTAAACATTGTACTAACAAGTACTGCCTTCTGTTTATAATTTGTCTTTCATCCTTCTACTGTGGGTTTTCGGAGGATGCATATTCCAGATTAGAGTCAGATTGTAATCCCTTTCTATCATATGACAAAGAAGAACAATTTTAAGTGGGGTCCTGAGCAGCAATCTTTTGAATAAATTACGTAGGACACTGTTCATGCAGTAGCCCTTAGGCCAGTCAAGACAGGACAAGACATGAAAAATATTCTTTGCAGTGCAGCTGGGGAGAATGGCCCTTCCTGGAGTCTCTGGCAAAAAGCACCAGGGAGATTTGAGGATGACAACTGGGATTCTAGAACCAGCAGTACAAATGCAGCCTGTTACACCCCAACTGAAAGAGATACTGGGAGCTTATGAAGGGTATGCTACCTTCTACAGATCATGCAACTCCATATAGCTATGGAGTAAGAGGGTCACATTAAGCACACAGCAAACTCAAATAGGAAACCCCAATCGACCAGGGATTTTGGAAGTCATCACAAACTGTCCTAAAAGGGAAATTTTAGACTATCATCATCACCGGAGAAGGAAAAAGTGACACGTGCTGAGGAGGCCCCACCCAGCAATCAGAAAACAGAAAGCAATACACTCCTTTTACTGATGTTCCTGCCTAATCTAGGGATACATTGAAAATGAAAAGCTGACATTTGGAGTCTTAGGAGGCAAATCTCAGCTATTGAGGGACAAGGTGGATCAAGTCAGGTTGCAGAGCTGAAAGCCATCCAGCTGGCTTTAGATATCGTTTAATGAGAGAAATGGCCAGTGCTAACCTTTGCACTGACTTGTGGATGATGGCAAATGCTTTGTAGGGGTGGCGAAATGATGGAAGAAGACAAATTGGCAGCAGATAGGTAAACCCATCTGGGCTGATGAATTGTGGCAAGATATTGCTGCCTAAGCAGAGAACTTTGATTGTAAAAGTACGTCATGTAGATGCACATGTCGGGCTACTGAAGCCAAGAGTTGGGCTACTGAAGAACATCATAGCAATGGACAAGTGGATTGGGCTGCCAAGGTTAAAGTATCACAGGTGGATGTGGACTGGCAACATAAGGGTGAATTATTTCTGACACCCCAGGTCAATAGGGAAGAGATGCAACATAGAGATGGGCTCATGACTGAGAGTTAACTTAACCATGGACACTATTTCCCAGACCATCCTTAACTGTGCAACATGTGCTGAAATCAAGCAGGTCATACCTCTGTGGTATGTTGAACAATGGTCAAAATATAAATATGGGGAGGCCTGGCACATTTGTTATATCACACTCCTGCAAACCCACCAAGGAAAGCTCTGTGTGCTTATGATTTGCTGCTACAGAATAGGATAGACAACCAACTTAAAGCACTGTGACTTCTGCAACAAACATATGGAAGTACTGATATACAATAATTTTAAAAGGCAACTATGATCTTAGCTACAATACTACAGTCAATAATTTTTTTTTTTTTTAACGAGTTCTCAACAATACAATACATTGACAAGCATGGCTATTATTTACTCTTCCATAAAAGTAAAATAAAAAGTAAGAGCCTGACATTGATATATTCTCAAGTACGTCTCCCTACACTGGGGAGAAAAAAGTTTGAAAAAAAAATCTCCCATCACCCATCAGTTCTGATGTGGGGAAAAAAAAGCAACTCACTTTCATTAAAATTGTTGTACAGATTTCCAAACATGCATGAAGTAGGAGTACATTAAATTGTTCTTGGTAGGTTTTGTGGTTTGGGGTAAGGGAGTTTTTTGGGAGGGGCAGGGAGAAGTTTGATTGAATTTCTTTGTTGTGTTTCATGTTCTTGGGTTGGGTTGAGTTTTTTTGTAAGTATACCTGACAGCAGGTAAGTTAATTTAATTTCAATATTTTCCTATGAGAAAGGTTTAAAATATCCAGATGATGGTTAGGATAAATTTGTCATTGTCTGTGGAGAGTTACATTTATAAACAACCATAGCAACACAATGCTGTTTATTCTAATGAATACTTTTATAGCAATCATTCTTTTCTCCCTCAAGATGTGTGTATCCCTTCTACCTTTGCTAT